GCATGTAAAGATTTTCCCTCGGCGGGCATATACAAGCAGCAAAGATTCATTGAAGTATGGAAAAGGACTTGTGTTGACATGGCTTTCTTTCATCGGTAACATACTGATATCAGAAAGCAATGTGTGCCTCTATGCACCAGTATTTTCAGTCTTTACCAGAAAGAAGAATAAGGCTGCCTCCCTGTATTTAGTGTGGAATTGATACCAAAATGTTCCAACCGCTACTTCTGATCAAATTGGCAGGCCAGATAATGATAATAGCTGACATTCACTGATACTTACCATGCCCTAGCTCTGTTCTAAGCACTTACTATACTTTAAGCTTCAAAACAATTGCAGGAAATGGGTGATATCATTATCTATTTTATGGATCAAAAAAGGAAGGAATAAAAAGATTAAGGAACTGGCATGGAGTCTAGAGCTAGCAGGCGGTACGGGTAATCTGTCTTCTGTGATCTTAAGAGGTTTGCACATTGAGAATGACCAAGTTCTCTCTTCCCACTGTCACATCTCTGGAGGTCAGACCATAGCAAAGTGTAATCGACAAAAGTTGCCCTAATAATTTTGACCCCACACACAGAATAATAGTCATTAAAGTTCTGAGAGTCATGAACCTCTTTGGAATCTAGAAATCTATGTATTCACTTGCCAGAAAAATCTACCCTATACCCCGATGTATAAGGGTTTAGTTATAACTTTATTGAGTGTATGTTTCTGCCTAAAATCCATGTACTTTTGGTTAAAAGATTCCAGATTAAAAGCCCCTAAAACTCTTGTGACAGTTTAGTCACTTTCAATATGGCCTGAAACTAAGTAAATACTTGCCACTGCATAGTAGAAATAAAATTTTGATGTGTCATTTAAAATCCCTTCATTCTCTCCAACATCACTTTGTAGAAATTCTCTATCCCTTTATATTTCAAGACACGTCAAAGAAAGAGGATTTTTCTTGTGTCCAGACAGGAAAAGATTTAGTCCTGCTGATATTTTGTGCAGAGAATTTCTCTACAAAATTGAGTTTTCATTCGTATATTTGTTTCTTCAAGGCACAAAAGCCTGAGGAAAGACAACAGAGATGAGGGCCTCAGTGATCCTGAGAATTTAAATGAGGCCAATGTCCTCCAAGGAAGGTAAAAGCAGAACCCATGTATCAGCAATCCGTACCAGCTCTGCTGTGGTGTGTTCTCAATTTTTATATCAATAACTAGGAGGATCCTTTAATGTAAGATTTGGCATATAATTATACCAATAATTTACCAATGATAATTATGTCTCATATTTACTGAACACTAGTTTCCAGCCACTTTCCTCAGTGTTTTTTGTTTTTTCTTATGCTTTTGTTTTTCCTTCCATCAGTCCTGAGAGGGACACGGCTCTGATTCTCATTTTATAGATAGCATTTCCTGTTCTGCTAATAAGCACGGGAACAAGAATTCCACCTGGGCTGCCTGACTCCAGAGCCCCAAGCCTGTCTGAGTGCATGGGCACCCTCCAGATGAGAGAAGCTCAGGTGTTTTCCTGTGTAGTGGTCTTGGGCACGTGGCCCACACTGTACACAGTGAGGTTCTGATCTCTCTGACTGAAGAAGGGGAGAATAGGTTGAGTTCTTGTCTGGGCCATTTTGTGAGATGTCAGGTCCTGCTGAGAGATTCTTTGGGTGTCTTGTGTCAGATTATTTCATCTTGTTCTAGGTTCTGGTAGTTAAAACAGGGGATCAAAAATATATAACAAATACTTAAATGTTTAAACTTTTATTACAGTAAGAAACACATTGCCATTAATTTTTCTCAAAATATCCCCCCTCATTTATGAGCACACTTATTATTCTTGCCACTTTCTGACGTGTTTCCGGAAGTCTTCTTTGGTGTCCACATAAAGTGTAATAGGAAACAGACGGAATGCTGCTGTTGAGTGATGTCCAATAAAAAGAGAAGCTCGTGAAAATAATGTACTGTGTTCTCATCCACATTATTCACCAGATTTGGCACCATGAGACTTCTGATTATTCCTCAAAGTCAAAATGATAATGAAAAATAAATGTTTGAACCAGTTTGGAGTATGAAGGCAGCCATGACAGCCCAACTAAAGACATTTGCAAAAGAAGACTTCTAGAGCTGCTTCAGACAACGGCAAGAACTGAGATGAGAATCTTTGAAACAAGGAGGAGTTGAGGGAGGGCTGATGATAATGTCTTTTACAGTAATATTTTTTAATTGAATATTCATTGTGTTTTTTGATCACTTAATATAGGTTCTTTTTATTCTCGCTCATTGCTCAGCAAACTTGATTACTTAAGCTTCGTTCCAGTGCACAGATTTGCCTGGACTCATTGGGATCTCCTTTAGGAGTACTGACCTTTCCCTGTGTCTCTAATTATTTCCTCTCTGGACTGGCTGGCTGTGCTGGAGAGCTGTCTTTTTAGCAATGTGAATCCTTTGCCTTGCTGACTCTATGCTCTCTTCTGCTCTTCCTGGGCTTCTATTCCCTAGCCAGCTGTGCCTGTGATCCTCAGATTATGGTGATCAAGAGGCATAAGTTTTTGTACCCACTTTTCCAGGAAGAGGAAATTCCCGATTAGGATCTGAGCTGAAACAGCTCTTCCTGTATTGCAATCTTTTGTGTGTTTTCATTAACTATTCTGGGTCATCACACAAGCAATGGAGATCCATTCATTCATGACACATTGATCAAGCATCTATTTATGTTCCAGGCACTGTGCTGAGTGCTGGGGTTGCCATGGTGATTAAGTTAAAATTTGTTCCGGCTTTCACAGTTTAGTGTTTTGGAATGAATCAGACACATGAAGAGGAAATTGCAATACAATTTGATAATGATTCTAAGGCAATAACAAGTGTTTTGAAAGCACGTGAGAAGGGCACTGACTCCAAATTTGAAGGACTAGATGGACATCTGGGTCCAGAAGGATGGCTACAAGAAGTTAGGCAGTTAGAGAGGTTTGCGGTTGTATAGTTAGAAAAATGTTCTAGAAAAAAGGGTTAGCAAATTCAAGATCCTATAGGCAGAGAAAACACGAAGAGCCTGCATGGCCACAATTAGCTCAAGATACCTAAGGCAGAGTTTGAAGTCACATGTGAACAGAGAAAAAGCTGGAGAGCTGAGCAGGGCTGGAGATAGGATGGATGTCTGTCTTGTAATCTCTTTCTATGCCACATAGACACCAGTTGCTTTTACAGGCTTGGGTATTTGGTGGCAGAGGTTGAGGCTGAGAAGTCACATGTGTTGTCTCACTGTAAGTTATAGGTAATAAGTGATCTCAGAGACCTCTGTCTGTACCATCCAGGGCCCCAAGCAGTCAAGGACCCTCCTCTCTGAGATAGTGTCCTTTGTGGCTCAAGACATGCTGGGATCTCCCCCCTGCTACTGCTGGTATTTTCTCCTCCCCCAAACTGGTGTACTCCATGCACGTTCTCTCTGCTGCTACTGTCACTTTTATGTTCAGGGGTGACATGGGGCCTTGATACTTGGACCTTCCCTGCACCACCAGATATGCAGAGCTGAGCCAGGCCTTTCATACTCACCAGCTACCCTACAGGAGGGTGCAGTTGGGAAACACGAGCCTCAGAGACATTAAATCACTTGCCACAAGCCACCAAGCTGTAAGTGACAATGCAGAATTTGGACTTCTGATTTTGAAGCCACTACAATCCTGAGTTCAGACACCTCAAATCCCAGCATATTTTAAATGACCTGTAATAGTATGCAGCTCTACCCTCGGGCTTTGCAATAGCCTCTCATCAACTTCCTCAGAGAAACAGCAGTCATCTCTGATGTGGCCTAGTACTCTTCAGCTCCCCTCAGAGAAACTAGTGACTGTGTGCAAACAGCCCTTGGTGTAGTTGGGCAACCTAAGTGTGATTTACAGGTGAGATTCTTTGTCTCACCTCCCAGACACCCCTGGTCTTCTGTTTTTGATTTACTTTCATTCTTGTTATCTTCTTTCATTACCATTTTAGTGTTCAGTTTCCATCCTAAGTAAAATAATGGTTCTTGTCATTGTGCTCTGTCTTGGGTGTTATCAAACACCAATAAAAGTCCAGTAACAAATCTTGCAGATTTACTGAGAGAGATGGATGTGTTCACTGGTTTAGGCTCCAACTTTGAAAAAGAGTTCTGGGGGCTGGGGATTTAGCTCAGCGGCATAAGTGCCTGCCTTGCAAGCAGGCAGTTGTGAGTTCGATCCCTGGTACTGATAAAAACGAAAAAGACAAAAAAAAAAAAGTTCTAGTAACCAATCAGCAGTTCTTACAAGTATCTTTTCATTAAAAGTGAGGATCTCCTTGCAGCGAGATGGACCTGGCTCTATATTACTAGAAGTAATCTGGATCCCATTACCAATTACTCTTTTTCCTGCTGGCAAATAGAAAAAGCAATTTTAAAATTCTTTCTTTTGAATTAATAGGCACTGTCTCCAGAATATCACTTTGTCCACCAAAGAACACAGAATTATTTCCAGATAACATATTCAAGAAATTTTATAGAAGGCAAGAAATTTATATAGTGGCCATTCTATAACCTGGACTCAATAGTCTTGAATGCAAATCCTAACTCTGTCCTTTGCTAGCTATATGCAGTAGGCAAAGTCATTTAATCTCTTCGACCCTTAGTTTCTCTTTTTGTAAAGTGAGAATATTAGTGCATTGAGCAGTTAGAGGATTAGGTTAGCAGGAATTAGTATGACAGCATAAGTTAGCCTAGTTCATCCTGGAGATTCTATTATTACTGTATGTTATTGTTATTACAAAAGTCATCCACATGTCTGTCTTTAGGGTGATCTACTATATTTCATTTTCTCCTTGGGATTTTCCTTTTTATGTACAAATTTCCATTCTTCAGAGGTAGGATGTGATATTGCTTTTGTATACTTCGGGTCTTGTCTCTTTGTATGATTTGTGTGATCAAATGAGAGGTTGAAGGAATTTTGGTTGGCCTTTTCCTTTCATTTCGCCTTCTTCTATAAGATGATTATGTTTCTGTTGCAGAATGATGAGGTGGAGTTTGTGCGAACTGGCTATGGGAAGGATATGGTAAAAGTTCTTCATATTCAACGAGATGGAAAATACCACAGCATTAAAGAGGTGGCAACTTCAGTGCAACTTACCCTGAGTTCCAAAAAAGATTACCTGCATGGAGATAATTCAGATATCATCCCTACAGACACCATCAAGAATACAGTGCATGTCCTGGCAAAGTTCAAAGGGGTATGCATCATTTTCTTAGATGCTGCCTGTTTTGATGCAGAATTCATTATAAGATGGCATGGGCATAGTACTAACTTATTTTAGGTTCCCATTACCTTTTAACCTACTTAAGCTATCTTAAAAATTTCTGTTCTATCCTCAAATTCTCAGGCTTGCAGGAAAAGCTTGCTTTTTAAAATTTTTTAAAACCAATCATATTTTTAGGCTTCTTTCTTCAGTCTTTCAGGCCAAGATTATTATTGGACAAATTAGAATTTTCTTGCTAATTAGGATCATGAGCAAATTAACATTCTGAAAGATTTCAGAATAAAATGTAACATGTATGTCATGTATTTCTTTGAGCCCCAGTACTTATATTTGTACTGGAATGATGTGTATTTGTAGTAGAAAATGCCGTTTTCTTTCTTGTTACTGCAGAAGAAAATCTTGAGTATCAGACATATTTCCTTTTATTCTTGAACTTCATTTGTCCAGCTTTAAATGCCTTCCCTGCCCCTTCAGCTTTCTTGCCACTTACTGTGCTGGCTAATTGATTTTTCATGAGCTACTTATACCTGATAGAATCTGACATTTTAGTATTAGTTTTTAATTTTTATTTTAAAGGGAGTAAAACAGAACAATAAAACTAAACAGACAGTGATGAGACAGTAGAGATAATAGTCACAATGCTCATATTATCCTCTAAATAGTTACTCAGGCTTGTGGCTTTCAGTGTGCAAAATCAAACAATTTCTTGACTTTTTAGCATTTTGACGTTTTATTTTAGAGTGAGTAGAATTCTGGCTCAATCAAGGTGATTGCTGATTTCTTTTTCAAAGAATTCTAAAAATGCAAGATATGTAGACTAGAAAATTCATTTTTAAAAACATGAAATCCACATTCATAATGCAGTAAATGAGCAAACTAATTGCAGTGCAATTTCGAGATCTATTTGTACCTTGAATTTTTCTCTTGTCAATCAGAATGGTCCAGCAAACAGAGTTATGAAAAAATAAAGTGCTGTCATAAAAAAAAAAAAAACTAGTTGAACATAGGCCTGTATTATGATACAGAAGAGGGCCAGATACCACGGTTTAGTTCCTGTTCTGTGTGAGGGACTGCAGAACTGTGAAGGTATAACTGAATGTTAAAAGCAATTCAAATTCAGTCATTATAGATAGAGTGATCATATAATTTCCTATACAAATCAAGATACTTGTGACTGTAAAGTAGGGTATTATTAATTATTTTGGGACAATTGTAATAAAACTGGGTTATGTTGGGGAATCCTGTACAAATAGTCCACTTGAATTATAGGCAAAGCCGTTATTAATTCCCAGACTATGCCAGGGCCTTAAAGTATTGCCTAGAATTTTTTTTTACTTAATTAAGTTTATTAGTACATTTTAGGTATACATAATGATCACATTCATTATAGGGAATTTGTACCTGCACATGATATAACTTGATTCCTTTTTTTTCCATTCCCCTACAACTCCTTTTAACCCCTCCTCCCCTCTTTATTTCCATTTCCATTTTTTCTTTCTTTCTCATCATTTTTAAACTTAATGTGGAAAATCTGTGAGAAAGTAGAGAGCTGCTTTCTGGGAGTGAAGGGCCAAGGATATTCAATAAAAGTTCTGCACACAAAGCAGGAAAGGTGGCTTGGGGGGACCAAGGATTTAGCTCAATGGCAAAGCACCTCCCTGGAAAGCACAAGGTCCTGAGTTTGATTATAGATACAGAAAGTAAAAGCAAGCAAACAAACAAACAAAAAGAATGGTGGTTTGGATCTTCATTAACATTTTCCTTGGGAAACTGGGAGGCCTATTTGTAAAGCTCCTAAAGACACCAGAGTGCATGATTGTTGATATAGATTATTATCAAGGTCACTGTGAGAAGAATCTGAATCTTACCTGGTGCTCATCCACTAATACATCCTTCCTTGTAAAACACGTTCCAAAACAAAAACAAAAAACTCAGGGTTATCTCACATGGTGATGGACCTCATGGAAAACTGGGATGAACTTGGATAAGGATCAATTTATGTTTTGAAATTTTTTCCAGTTGTATACTTCTCTTCTTCTGGAGAGAGGGAGGGAGGTAGGGAGGGAGGGAGGAGGGAGACAGAGAAAGAGAGAGAGAGAGAGAGAGAGAGAGAGAGGCCTGAGTATTGAAAAATTATTTTCAAGTGGGTAAAGTATTTCTGATCACTATTGTCTTGTTTCTTTTACAGATTAAAAGCATAGAAACTTTTGCTTTGAACATATGTCAGTATTTCCTTTCTTCTTTTTGTCATGTCATCCGAGCTCATGTCTACATTGAGGAAGTCCCTTGGAAGCGTTTTGAAAAGGTTATCTCATTTATGCTCCCAGTTTGATTAAATCAACCTTACGGCATACGCTGAAATTTTACGGGAGAAAAATTTTCCCCTCCTTTTCAGAATGGAGCTAAGCATGTCCACGCATTTATTCACACTCCCACTGGAACACACTTCTGTGAGGTGGAGCAGAGGAGGAGTGGTAAGAAACTATTTTTCATGCTTTGATTCTTCAAAAGCTATTTCAGTTGTTTTCCTCCTAAATGACTCTGTTTATTAACATGGAGAGAAACTGCAGAGAGTTTTTCAAGCGTTTAAATCTGAGATGGGTTAATGAACATTGTGCATTTGGATTATATTTTAAAATTTGTCTTTTTGTTCAAAATAAGAAAAAAATGAAACATTTCATTTTGTAACTGAATTTGAAAGTTGAGTGGGATAGATCATTTTCATTATCAGATTTTGTGGTGAGGCAGCAAAAAAGCCCCAGGCTGACAAGAACCCAGATCTCTGAAATTTCTGGCCAATATATTTTTGTATAACCTCATTATTTTATTAACCTTTATAGGAAATATGTACTAAATAGCAATCATTTTTCATAATTTTATTTGCACGATAAGCTACTGATGCTATTATAATTTCTATAAAGTGAATTTCTTTTAAAATAGTAATAACAATTATATAATTTCATGTACCAAGATATTTAAAAATTAAATGTGAGACATTATTGCAATACAGACCTTATTAAATTACATTAATAACTACATTATTATCATGCAGATCTTACTGGTAATTAAACTGAGGAAACATTAAAATTTCAAAAGCTTGTGTTCCACTGTTTCTATGAGATTGTTAGTGCAGAATTCAATAATTCATTAAGACTTAGACTAGAAGGCTTTTAAGAACAATGGGATCAAAGATGATAGAAACATCTTTGTCTTAACAAAAAGTAAGCCTTAATGATAATTATCAATTGAGAGTGTGGATGCTACACAGTTTCCCTTTTTCTTTTCTTCTTTCTTTTCTCTACCTTTCGTTAGTGAGAATTTGACATGACATCTAACAGACATCAGGAATACTGCAACATTCATAAAATATAAGGTTTCTTCTCATTTTGAGTTCTTTTGGGAGATGTCCTTGTTCTCCTTAGAAAGTTTAGTGTGTGAGATATCATTTAATATTTTTATTACCTGTCTAGACATAGATAGGGCCTTTTCAGTATTTGATTGACAGTTATAAAATTATCAGCATAAAAAACTTAATAGTTGTATTAAATTGAAAAGGTGATTTTTATCTTCTAAATGTGTAGCCATGTGATACTACTCTAAAATGTTGGTTAAAACAAAATTTCTTTTCCTCCTTTCCTTTCTTCCATCTGTGTCTTTCCTTCCTTCCTTCCTTTCTTTCTTCCTTTTATCTTGCCTTAGATGCATGACTTTGGAGAAGAAAGAATAATTGCCTAACTCTTACGCCAGTGTTTTCATACCCAAACTACACTGACTATTCTCATAAAATTAGAAACTCTAAATCAGCTCTAACTGAAATAGAATGCAAGCCATATAAATAATTTTATTTTATTTATTTGTTCACATATGTAATTTTAAAGTCTTTTGATAATAACATTAAAAAAAAGAAATTAGGAATATAAATTTTAGTAATATATTTCATTTAATCCAGTATATCAAAAATATTTCTCTATATGATAAGTGTAAGAAAATATTTTACATTCTTTTAAAAAGTGACTCTTTGAAATTTCATGTGTATTTTATATTTTAAGTCATGCTAGCCATCTTTCATGTGCTCACAGAGTGGGGGGCCTAGTAGTGGCTACTGTAGTGATAGGATAGCTCTCAATTGGCTTTCACTGATGTTCTGGATACTTAGCACTTTCTCCTTCTTTCCATTATGTGAAATAATAGCATGAGCTAGAATTAGAGCTCAAGAGAGCTGATTAAAAAATAAAAGCATTTACGAAAAGTACTTGTGTCATTTGCCTCACATTATTCATCAAATAATTAGATTTTGAGGACTTATATACCTGAGGAATTATCAATAAAGAGATGAACAAGCCCTTCCTAGCAGATAGAGCCCTGTCTCATAAGAAACAGACCTATAGCCAGACTCATTGCAATTAGAGGGTTGGACCACAGGTGCAGGGACTAAAATTATGCTAGGGAACAAATAAATACAGTCTTCCCAGGGAAGTCTGAAAGGCTTGACAGGGGAGAGCAAACATTTCAACTGACTTTTAAAAACTAATTCAGCATATGCTGGGCATAGGCAGGGGTAGGGAGACTATGACCAAAGGAAAGAGTATACCCATGGGTAAGATTTATGCAGGAACGGAAGAAGGAAACTAAATATTTGAAGCCCTGGTATCATGCTGAGCACCATGATGAAAAAGTATTTATTTGATTGTTGAAAGGCAAAAATTTGAAAAATAGGTGCAAACTCAGGGGGCCTGATTCCTAGAATGTAAGAGGCAGACCTAAGGCTCCACTCTGAAGGACTTCAAGTGCTGCACTAACGCGTTTAATGAAATTCAAAGGCAATCTTGTAAGGTGGTTAAGCTTAGAGGCCTTGAGATCAGAAGGAACTGAATGACCTCTCCTACTTTATGGCTTTGTGACTGGGAGCAAATGCCCACTTAAGGAGGCAAGTGCCAAATTTATGGTACTAAAACATTTAGCACAGTATCTGCCACGTAGGAGCTACTCCTTAAGAGTGAATGCATAGTATGACAACAAAGAGTCACAGGTCTTTCCGTGGACAAGTGAGACAGCTCTTTCCGTGGACAAGTGAGACAGCATGGGTGTGTTTTTGTTCATACAAAATCCTAACCAATAGGTGGTGAACAGGCTGGAGACACAGGCAGTAATGAGACAGGTGGAGGCTTGTAGAAATGACGAAGTGATGTGCTCTGAACTATGATAGTAGAATCAGAAACAGAGGTTGTGGGCAGGCCTTCCACGAGGCATTTGTGACGTGTGAACGGTAGCTATCTGGCTGACGGAGATGGAAAGTGGGAGGGAAGGAAGAGTTAAAGTTGGTCCCGAAGTGAGAAGCCTGGGCAACTGACTAAAGAGAATACACCCAAAGAGTATTTTGAGGGAAGTTGCTAAGTTTTGGGAATAGGGCACAGTGATGGATTTGGGGACCATTAACAGATCAACAGTAGGTGAAGTCATAGGAAAGGTGAATATTCCATAAAAGCATATGAAGTAAGAAGGGGAAATATGAAGAGAACTGGGGAAGTTTCCTTAGTTTGAGGCTTGGATAGTTTTAAGAATGAGATGGAAGAGTGGCCAGAGAGATAGAAGAAGGGCGGGAGAGTGACATCACGAAAACAGAACAAAAATAGGGTTTAAGAAATGAGAAATAGTTACTGAGGCAAGTAATAGGTCGTAACAAATAAATCCTTATGGAGTAGGCTACACAAGAAATTTCTTCTTTTTATAAAAGTTTAGCCCTTTGTATGTGCATGTGTGTGTGGATGGGCAGTGTTCTGCTTCATAAGTCATTCAGAAACCCAGGTTAATGGCAACCTTCTGTTTTGAATCTTTGCTTAGATTTCCACACCAGATAGTGAGGAGAGGTAAAGCAGGTGAAGGAGAACAGGAGGGGCAGACTCCCCAGGCATGAACACCAGGCCAGAAAGCAACTGCAGTAGGCTGAAGACAATCACACAGCCACTCCCAGCTGCAGGAGAAGCACAAGTCTAGCTTGCACCCAGGAAGAATAAATAGGCTAAATCTCTGCCACAGGAAGAGTAAGAAATTTGGGTTTAAAAAAAAAACAGTGGAAAAGAAACTAGATTTGTCAGCTAGACATCACTGGTGACTTCCACAAAAACATGTTTAGCAGAGCCCGGTGGTGAAAGTGAAAAGGCCAGGCGCAGGGCTGTGATCATACAAAAAGAACAGGGCTCTCTTCACACCCAAGTCCTTCAGGAGTTAGCCGGAGCTAGTGTCAGCCTAAACCCCACTCACCTGGAGGCTGTAGAGTGGGAAAATGAGCAATTATAATCAGGTAAAGCTTTTCCTTTCTGTTAGGAGCTTCAGAGCTTCAGGGTCCTGAGATCATTGTGGCAGGGTAGCCAGAAACTCCAGCTTGTCTCATCTAGAGCCCAGCCCACCTCAGAAATCATGCAGGGCTGGCAGGGATCAGGGTAGGGGACAAGACATTTGTTGCCTTAAGTGTATGCAGGTATGTGTGTGTCCAGGCATAAGAATGTGTGTGTCTTTCAGGTCTGTGTACACAAAGATGATATTTATATTTTATTCCTCTTAAAAATAGAGCTATGTGTTCCACTGATAGCAAAAGTACTTCTTAATTTTCTTATTACCTAAGATCGGAAACTGTGGGAGTTGTGACATGAATCAAAGTTATAATCATTGTGATAAGAAATGCCTTGTGCAGGATTAACTGAAGAAAATAATCCTTGTGTTACACACACACCAATTCAAATGATGAAGGGTGTTGCAAACTCCTGAGTAGTGAGTGGTGTCTTTGTTTGGACCTGGCTAGGATGATGATAAGTCTTCCTGCTCACACACATATACCTAATCATACATGCAGCCATTCAACTCCCAAAAGAAACTCTTCCCAGTAGGATATGTGACTGGGTTCCTCCTGATGGGCTGGGCTCATGCCCATTTATCCTCTGGACACACAGTTATGCAAAGCCTACTGAAAGCCAGGCAGAGATTGATCCTGGGGAATTGTTTTGAAACTCTCATTCTATTATTTCTTCCTTTGGATCTTCCAAAGCTTTACCATGGACTTGTACTTTTTGGTGTTTCAAAGTCTCCTAGTTCCTTGAATGAATCTTGAAGAAAGACATTTGTTTGCCTAAAGAGCTGCCCTTAAGTCTGTGAGCCCCCAAACCCAGAGAGAACTAGGCTCTGTATGCATAGTACTGGCTGATGGCTGAATCACTAATTTGAAATAAATCAGTCCCCAAATCCCTGTACTACTTGAATTAAAATTCATAATTCTTTAGGCATCAAATTTGTCTCATTCTGACACTAATTATAAAAATCCAGCTAAAGTATTTCTAGACAAAGAAATGAAAGATGGCAATACTGTCTACAGGTCATGAAAACAAACCCCCAGTCATTTGTGGATGGGAAGGCTGGTGGTTGTTTTAGGAAAGGGGCTAATGAAGTCCAAGTTCAGGAAGCAAAGAGATTGAAAGAGGTGACAAGCAAGGCAGACGGAACAGCTGAGGTGTGGGACCCAGGACAGAGATGGCCACTGCCAACAAAACCATTCATGTCCCTTTGCTACCAAGACTAAAGCTCTTCAGTCCCTCCATAGGAGAAGTTCTTGGCAGACACAAGGTCTTTTGAAACCAGCTTGATAATCACCTGGCTACACAAAAGCCCAGCCAGCTCCCTTTGACCTGAGTGATGCCATCCCTCCCATGCAAAATTGCCCAGAGGGAGCTTTTACTCTCCCTGTGGGAGCTAAATGGACTCTCAGAGGCAAATGATATTTAATTGATCTTCACTTTTTTTCCTAGTACTTTACAAGTTTGATATTTTCTAGTAGGATGATTTAATATAGTTTTAAAATATCCTCCTTTTAGCTATTTGTGTCCTTTTTGGAGGTGTTAAATGTGGAAGCAATTATCCTCCTCATGACAGAATTTTTTTTTCTTGGCTCAGTAAAGCTTTGTGCTTTGTGACACCTGATGCGTAGGTAAGGAATTGGGCTTATTTTGCGTTAACTCACAGTGAGTTTTTTTCCCTGAGAGAGCTAAAGGGTAGATGTATGCTTCTTGGAGAGATAAACTGCAATCTGTTAAGTGTGTAGGAGGATACTAAGAGCTAGAAAAAAATTATGTTCTAGCAAAGAAAAATGTGAAAATCTTTCCTTTTGCATTACTCTATAACCATGGCAAAAAAAAAAAAAAAAAAAACCCGATTAAGTGATTGCATGGGAAGTAACCTAAAAAAGGGGGAGTCTCCTTGGTTGAATTACTTCGTTAGTCTAAATTTGCATCTTTTTAGAGTGTGTGAGGCATCATATTTTTAGTTAATGGCCCCATGAATTTGAAAGCCTAGATTCTTACCAGTGTTCCAAAAGCTGGGAAATTGCCAACAGAGAAAATAAAATAAGCTCTATGATTTCATCCAATGTGCCCAGTGTGTGCCAAAAACTCTTTGAGCATTCAGAAAGAATCGTTTTTGTTGTTGTTCGTGGAGTGATGAGAGTACCAAAGTAGATGGTTTGTGTTATGCCAAAACTGTGGCAATCGTTAATTATCTTCAGGAGCATGAGACATTTTCTTCTGTGGGAAACTGATGTGAAAACGAACTAACATCACAACTGATATCTCTACTTTCAGACTAGTGAGAAAATAGATGATTTCAGTGTGACCAATCAGGACCGACATTCCCTGAACTCAATACCTCTCACCTCAGGGCTGACTGTGGACAGGATGATACAGGAGAAGGAGTTTCCAGAACCCAGTGAGCCTCTGGGAAACATTTACAGGTGCTTAGAGTAGGTAGCACAAAATTAATTATGGCAAAATTATCATAATGACCTTTACAGAGCATTTCCTGTATGGCAACCATTCTAAGCCCTTCGTGTACATTATGTTAGATATGTGTTAGGTCCAGGAAGCAGATATGATGTTCTCTCCAATTTACAGATAAGAAAATCAAGATAGAAAGAGGTTAAATCATTTCCCCAGGGTAATAACGCCTATAAAATGGGAGACTACGGAGACAAGAAGAGCACCAGCATTTGAAGTTAGGGAAATCCAAAACTGTGGATTCAATTATTGTGTGACACTAGGTTCAGAAATCCTGTGAGGAGTGACATCACTAGAGGAGCCTACATTTGTCTAGTTTATGTAGATGCTGGCGATCAAGGCCAGAAGAATTGGAAAACATGGAACAGGCAGACTTCACCTTTGGTTCTGTTTCAGCTTTTTATTTCCCTTCAACTTTTTTCCTCCCAATTGCAAATCCATGTTTTATTTCTGCAGAGCCCACCCCCACCCCCCGCCCCAGGAGGGATTACTGTTGGAGATAGATTGTGTTCGTTTTTAAAAGTGTAGAGGTAATCTTTGATTTTATTATGAAACATTTAAGGAATAAAAGTTTCACAAGGGCCATTTCTAAAAGCGATGCTTCAGTCTGAATTTCAGACCAACAGTGATGGTTATTTTCAGGCTGGAGTCTCTCTGTGAGGCCCTCAAAGTACACTGTGGAACGAGAAGCAGCAAACTTCTCGTCTCCTAGATAGGCCTCTTATAGCACAGAAATGCAGGAAGAGAGTTAAAGGAAGGAGAAAACATTGCACAGATGGAGAGTGATCTAAAAAGGGGGCAGAAAAGCACGGAATCTCATAATGTGGTGCTGAATTTAGACTCCACCTCTTCCAGCCCCTAGTCATGTGACCATGGGCAGATGAATAAAAAACACCTGCATAGAAACACCTACTTTCTAGATGTCTGTGGGTTAAGTAAGAGAAAGACTGGAAAAGGCAGCAACGAAAGGCTACTTGTGGGCAGGAGATTGTCAGGTAACGATACCCTTTCCTCTTTCCCTGCCACATTGTACAGAAGAGGCAGAAGGGACCAGGAAGTGAAAAAGTCAAGAGTGATGTAGGTGAACTATCTAGAAGAGAAAGAGACTAAGTCGTGAGATTCTTATTCCTGGACATGAATCAATCTTGCTGCACTTGTTCATTTAACATCTACCTATTGATTGCTTCTGTAATTTTCTTGGGTTTGAGACTTGGATTCACTGCATTTAAAATACTGATTTTGTAGGACCACGTCTTTGTGTATTTAGAGCCTGATGAATTCAGCCAACTGAAGCCTTTAAAGCACCGTTGGCATCTTTCTCTTGATCCTTCATCAGCTACAGCTCCCAGTGAGAACTGCAGAAAGTTAAACAAATACCATTGGCTGTTATACCACATTATCCTGGATCACATTGCACAAGGCATTTTATTTAATTAGAAAATATTAAATCAGCAAATCTTCCACTAATCCTTGGCTATTGCTGTCTCTGGTAGGTGCACAAATGTAGCACTGAAAACACCAAACTACCATATAGTCATTATTTAAGTAGTTCTAAAACTCCATAGCTCCTGCATGAATTATAGTAGTGAAGCTCACATTGGTGATATAAACCATTGGATTTTTTGAAGCTTATTTTTATTAGTATTTGTTTGTAGCACATAATGCTTACATTCTTTGTGTCAAGTTGGTAATGCACATAATACATCTTAACTTCTCTTTTCATCCCCTGTCCCTTCTCTCCTTTCTCCTTTTCCTCCATCTCTTGATTCCCTTCCTATTTGAAAAAGATCTCCTTACTTCCTTTTTTTTTGCCCTTTATTTATGTTTTGAGTTTCTTATACAGGAGGAAAGATGCACTATTGAAGCCTAGTTTTAAAGAGGTTCTTTGGATTTTGATTAAGGGTTGTGAATTACATTCCTGTGCCTTGACCAAAAACATGCATGTATGAACTTGATGTGAAACCTGACAATGCTGGCCTTTAATTTTTAGACAAGATAATCCAAAGAAGAAGAAGAAGAGATACTTGTTAGGATCAACTTACAGATTGAAAAGAGGTGGCCCTAATAATCCTGCCATGACACTTTACTGTTGAGCTTTGCCAATTGCTCCCTGAATGTCCCAGCCTGTGCATGCCAATAAGATTATGGTAATGTTGGTTCCTGAGTCTCTCTGGATTTCTTCCCATTAAACTGCTAGAGGTACCCACCCAAACTTTTCCACCTCTGCCGGCCTCAAAGGCATCCTGCGCATGCTTAGGAAAGAGTTTGAACCCAATGGGGACAATTTCTGCCTCTCTGCTTCACCCTTCTTTTGCTATGTCATTGTCATTTCTTGGGAAAAACTCTGCTTTCCCTGTAGTACTACATCCCCAGATTTGCCAGTGTGTCAGTTGGTGCTATGTTCTCTTTAGCTTCCACTAAACTAGAGCTACATATGTTTCTACATGGAAAGAGAGAACCCTGCCTTCCCTAACTCTGTCCTTCACCACTGAGCTCACATTACTTATGCACAAGTAAGACACCGCTTCAGATTATGCTTGTCACTGTTCACCTGACCCATTAGCTTATGAGGTGACAGCGGAAATACAAGATGAGCTGTCTTATTCCTTCCACTGTTCTCAACTCTCCTCCAGGTACCTATGAACCAGCTTCTGCCCCCAAAGTCTTCTCCTTCAGCCCCCAAACAAAAGTCTTTATGGATAACAACTTGGGCATATCCATGCCTGTGAGCCACCAGCCTTATCTTCCTTGTCTTTATTTATATATATAGTTTCAGCCAGGCCCATGCTGCTACTCATTCATGAAGCTGTGAGGTCATAACCACAAGGGGCACTGAGACATCATCAGGGCCCTGTGATAACTGCAGTCATTGGCCACTGGAGGTGACAAAATGAAGGCTACTGCCATCAAGGGATCATGATATCAGAGAACTGATTTTGGAGGAGCTTTTAAATTCATTTCATATGATTTCCAGTTGAATGATAGATAGCTCAAAAGTTATAGGATAATTTGCTTGAGAAGACACCGCTATGTGGGACTAAGAGTTATTCATTTTTGTGGACATCAACAAACGTGACAGTTTATTCTTGGACCCTCAGTTGTCTTAAACAGGAGAGGACAGGGACTCAGGAAGACACATCTTCCAGCCAGAAGAAAGGGTTACACTATGGTGCACATCTGTAACCCTAGCGCTCTGAGAGGGTGAGGTAAGAGGGTCACAAGCGTGAGCCTAGCCTTGGCAGTTTAGCAACTTAGAAAGACTGTCTCAATTTAAAAAATAAATAAAAAATTAAAAAGGGCTGGGAATCTAGCTAAGTACAAGGTTCTGGCTTCAATTCCAGTGTGTCAAACAATAAAAACAAAACAGATATAAGGAAAGACATACCATCCTCCTCTCTCAAACTCCAGAGGAGACAGGGAGATGGAAAATGTGGGCAGAGACCTGGTCTTTTGCATGGCATGCCATGTTTTAATGTCAGAATCCTCAATTCCAGGTATCAGTGGGAAGAGACTGTTTTACTTATGACCCATCCTTACCTTTCTGTTTAACACAGAGCCTCCAGTCATTCATTCTGGAATCAAAGACCTCAAGGTTTTGAAAACAACCCAGTCTGGATTTGAAGGATTCATCAAGGACCAGTTCACTACCCTCCCCGAGGTGAAGGACCGGTGCTTTGCTACCCAAGTGTACTGCAAGTGGCGCTATCACCAGAGCAGAGACGTGGATTTTGAAGCTACTTGGTATGATGAGTGCTAGGATCTGGCACTAGCATGGGGAATGTCTGCCTTTTTCCCAAGGTCCCAGTGTTCATGGAATCTTAGATCCCAAAAGGGAAACTTAGAAGTCATTCAACTCTACCTCCCCACTGGTCAGAAATCCCTCTTCTATGTCTTAACTTATGAAATCAATGGTTCTCAAACACAAATACACATCAGAATGACCTGGAAGCTTGTTAAGATACAGATCACTAAGCCACCTCCAGAGTCTGATTCTGTGGGGGAGTGGGGCCCAGCAATTTGCATTTGTAACCAGCTGCTGAGTGCGGCTGCTATGAGACTTCAAAGACACTGTAAGAAGCACTGATCAAATGAAGTGAATTTCTAGCCTTAGTGCCTCTAAGAGATGGCTAACTAGGGTGACACACTGCCTCAGTTTGCCAGGAACTTTCCTGGCTTTAACATTGAAATTCCCATATTCCAGGAGACCTTTTGATTCCAGGCAGACTGGGACAATTGGTCACACTAAGCTAAAAAAAAAAAAAAAAGTCAGATGTGTAGAAGTACTTTGTAAGTGGCAAATGCTTTAAAATGTAAAGGTATGATTATTATTATAACATCTTTGACAAGGAATAATTAGGCTTCTGAGCTCCCGGAGCTTGCCTTTTGACTAGGTATCTTATTCGTTCAATAAAACTCTAATTGCCAGACATTTCTAGCTTATGATAAGCTAGAATCTGCTCCTAGCCTCCATGTAGCTTCCTTCCACTGGATAGTTTTTCTCCATTTTTTTTGTTAGATGTAGGTTTTTAAATGCTTGGGGAAAAATCTCACCTGACTTCCCTTCTTCCTTTTCTATTTCAAGTTCTCCCCCTGGGCAGCAGGCCTCTGCAGTCCTCGGGTTGAAGAGCATGAGGTTGAACGTGCTAGGTTCGGGGTGGTGCTCCCAGCCTCCTACTAAAGACAGCAATTCAGAGGAGATTATGTGTTTTTGAAGCTCAGATTCAGCACTATATTGGGGATATTAGTATGGTTCTCACTTCAGCTGTACTGAGAATTCAATGACACAGTCATAAAAGGCTTAGTACAGAGTCTGGACAGAGTCAAATCCCCAAGGTTCAAGGAAACAACATGCACAGCTGTCAGAGGGCTAGACTTTTGGGATTTCCTTTCATAGGTTTCTCAAATGTGGAAGATTTACCCCCAAATGCCTATTGGGCCCTGGTACCCATCTATGAAGATAGGCTAGTGATGTTCAGCATTTGTTGAGTGTATGTCTGTGTATGCATATGAATATGTGTATGGGTGTGTGTGTGTGTGTGTGTGTGTGTGTGTGTGTGTGTGTAGAGAAATGGGAAGTGACTCTTTAACATTACAGGATATAATCTCTTCTAAAATAATAACTTTTTTCTGGGGGGCAGAAATGTCATTATGTCTTAGCTCTATAATGCATAACTGAAACACCACTTTATGAGAATCTTTAGCTTTCTTCTCTGTGCTTTAGGGACACTGTTCGGGACATTATCCTGGAAAAATTTGCTGGGCCCTGTGACAAAGGCGAGTACTCGCCCTCTGTCCAGAAGACCCTCTATGACATACAGGTGCTCTCCCTGAGGCAGGTTCCCGAGGTATGTTTAGTTCCTTGGCATTCTGAAGACTGAGAGAAGTTGTGTCTCCTGTCAGCTCTGAGAAAAAGTGGAGAGTTAAAATAAGAAAGTGGAAGACACATGAAAAATGACATCTGTTGTTGTTCAAAAGCTTGTTATAGAGAGAAGAGAGCAAAAAATGGAAAAAATCTGTCCAACCTAAAAACACAGGCCACTGTTACAGATCTTTAGTTTTGTTGAAAATTCTGTGAGTCCCTTCCACCTGTCTCTGATTTAAAATTTATATTCAGGACATTTTAGTGCCTTGATGGAGAGATAATTAGATGGAGGGTCTATGTTTCAGGAGATTGAGAGAGCAAAAGATAGAGTGATTCGATCTGTTTAGCATTTATTTGAAATTATTGGTTATTTTATCTCTGATGGTAGAAAATGATGCAAAGATAAATTAGAAATATTCCTTTCAAAGCACTTATCAATCGTTGAGCAAAAAAAAATAGAAAGCCAAATAGACAAACAATGCAACAGATAATAGGTTATTATGGAAATACAGAGGAAGTGTCTAAAGCAGATGTGAGATAGGGCCACCCACAAGAAGAGCATACATATATGTGTGCGTACATGTGTGTGTCTGTGTGTTGTCCTTACAGAAGGTAAGGGTAATCTGGGCTTATATGTAAGGGAGCTGGATCAGAGTTGGAATGAAGACAAAAGGCAGCATAATACAGTCATTGACTGTTAAGAGCCAATCGTATGTAAAGCTCTCTATGGGAAAGTCTTTCCATGCTCGCTAGTCATGAAGTCAAAACCAGTCAAGAGGGCCTTTTTAGTCTACTTACAAAATCTGTACTTGCACTTGCTCATAGGAACCACTAAAGAGAATAAGCAATGTGTACTGTGGCATAATTTGTCCTCTAGGAAGATCACTATGATGACAGTGTGATGAGCTAAAAGGATGAAGAACCACAGGCAAAGTTATTTGACGGTCTGCTACTGCAGAAATTTGCAAGGAGGCCCTGAGCCCAGGTCATGATAGAAATAAGAGAGAAAGGGGCTGGGGATTTAGCTCAGCGGCATAAGCGCCTGCCTTCCAAGCAGGCAGTCGTGAGTTCGATCCCTGGTACCGGTAAAAACGAAAAAGACAAAAAAAAAAAAAAAAAAAAAAAAAAGAGAGAAGTGCTATACTAAGACCTGGACAGAATAAACTTCTTTGATGGTCCAGCACTTCAGAGGATCCTTCAGCCCTTACTTTGATTTTGCCTCCTTTCACTGAGTGAATTAATGGAGCCAAAGCAACTCACTCTTCAGTGGCTCATGCATTCCCAGAATTTCCTGCCAAAGTACCCTGACAGTACTTCCAGAACGCAGGCAGACCTTTTCTGTCTCCAGAGGGCAGATCGTGCTATTGGTATGTAGAGTCTTAGGCCTAAGAATAAACAAAGTAGTGGACTTTTGCAGGAGGGACTTGACTGCAAGCTGAAATGTTTATCCTTGTGAGTCTCAGAGAGGAGATGGGACAGACCGGGGGCTGTTGGCTAACTCTTCCCATGTTGCAATGTCCTGGCATGGCACACCAAGGGTCAGAAAACTAAATTGAAACTGGGCTTTCCACATTGTGATGAAGATATCGTTGTTGAGGTAGAAAAATGGAATATATCTGACAAAGTTTTTTTTTTTTTTTAATAGCTTAACTTATAGCCTTCATACATCTGTTATGTGAATTTCCAACTATACTCTTACTCCCCGACATGTAGATGTTAGGGACAGGCCCAGAGAGAAAAAAACAACATGAAAAAGAAGTTAGAATGTGGCACGGCCAGTTCTTGGAAGCCAGGTTGGTGCAAAGAGTTCTCCCAGGTTTTGGACTCAAGAAGCCCTTACTTTTCTGAAGAAAAAAATAGATTTTCTACACTGAGGGGAGAGGAGTGAGCCTATCATCTGATAATAGGATCAGCTGGAGAGAAAATGTTGGGAGGTAGAGGAACATCAGACAGTGCCTCAAAGACAGAGCTGGAATCTATTTCAGAGGTTGAGGGGTGGATCGGAGGAGAGAGAATGTCGGTCTGATAGAGAGACTCACTGTGGCCCGGTATGATGCCTACTCTTGTGGCTTTCAGATAGAAGACATTGAAATCAGCCTGCCAAACATTCACTACGTTAACATAGACATGTCCAAAATGGGACTGATCAACAAAGAAGAGGTAAGAGAACTTTAGAATACCTCAAACATACCTCTGTTGCAGCCTTCTTATGGCTTTTTGTAAACTTGGGAATATAATGTCACTGAAACTCTTAACAGCTACTGCTTTGGGGAATGTTTATAGTTACACTGATTGGAGGTGTTTCAATGCCTGAGGCTGGAGTACCTTAGAAGTGGGTGAATGATTAGAGATAAGGATTGGAGAGAGAAAAACACAAAAGAGGAACAGAGTGTGCCCAAGGAAACAACTCTGAGATCTACTTGTCGGAAAAGTGCCATGCAAGGTCATGACTTCATTATTCTATCATGAGGCAACAAAGAGAGAAAAAAGATTCTGTTTTCATGTCCTTTCATCATTTCTATCTTTTGATTAAGCAGGCAATTCAGTAGCATACAATGCACACAAGAAAGCTGAAAGAGTGTTTTTGTTTCTAATGGCAAATATACAAAGTGAGATGAAGAAATTCATTTTTTGAGAGAAAATATTTGTCTTGGAAAATGCATGGGCCCTGAATTATTTTTAGCTGTAGTGGAAGATTAAACCACTCACTGTGTCTGAACAGAGAGCCTAAAATCCTGACTGGTGACCTGTGTGGTCCGCTCCTGGGAGATCAGAACTGTTCCTTCCCCATACTTTCAAAATGGTAGAATTTCTTCATGTGATACATCTGAAAACATGAGTTGGGTGAGTTCTTTTAGTATGTGTAGAACAGTGAGATATGGAAAGGGCTAGCTATTGGGATGGTTCTGCTGCTATAAAATCATATTTTTTGGTGGGTAAATTCCAATAAATGAACTTCCAGAAGGTCCTGTGTTCTTTTTTTCCATGAGAGACATCTTTATTCTTTCTTTTCCCAGTCTTGTATTCATATTTTTCCATTTTAAAGATAGTAAAATACAACAAAGAAAGACAGAACAGAGCCAATCAAGACAATGTAGCAAAATTGGTACAGAACTTCAGAACAGGATACCGGGAAAATAATACCTATGATATATATCTTGTTATCTTCACAATAGTTGTCCATTCCACCAGGTATAGCAAAATCAAGCCAAAAACAAAACAATAAAACCAATCAAAATATAATATGAATAAATCAAGCCAAAAACAAACCAATAAAACCAATCAAAATATAATATTGAATAAATTAATTAATCTTAATTAATTAACAATCTGAAAAAATGCAAAACAGTGAAAACAGTATTGGCCTTCAAAGACAAGATAGAAGGAAATCCTCCATTTTTGCTTTATAGCAACTGTCATCCTCTGAACGGATGCTCAGATCGCTGGCCACAATACAAGTATTTAGTCACTTTATGTTCCTTAGTTGCTATCAACTCAGACTGTCCTTGGAACCATCTGGTTGCTAAAGGGGTGGGAGAGTGTTGATTCTCACCCCATGCACCATAGGCTTGCTCTGCTTGCCAGGAAGGTTGGATCATTGCTTTCTTGGTCGGTGTCCCAAGTCCTGGCATGGTAGATTCTTGGGAGATGCTGGCTTTTCTCTTCCTGGCTTGTGCGCAGCTTGTGCTGCTTCAGTTTTGTATTCATATTCTCCAGAAGGTCCTATGTTCTTGGCCAGATGACCTATGAGCCCTGCAATCTTTGGGCCAGGTACCTTGTTTCTGTTCTGAAAATACTGTTCACCACTGGACACCACTGGGATTTGTACCATCATGGACATGGGCAGGTGACACTGGAAAGCATGTCTGATAGAGGTGACCAGAGCTCTGAGCTGCAGAGAGGGACCCACAGTGTCCCAGACATCTTTCATTCAGCTGAAAGATGAGGCAGCCCTGCCTCAGAGTATGGAAAAGATGTTCATGGCCAGAGTTTCATTAATTAGGCTATACAAAGCCTTTTTACAATGATGGCCTGCTAAAGAACAAGACAGATACCTAAAATTAATCCTAGCCATGTCCATCAGAGGGAGGACAAATGAGCTCCAGAGACAGTCAGAATCAAGTGTCATGACTAGATACTGCTTAGCTCAGTATCCCAGAAAGAGAGAAGAAGCTATCTTTGGGGCCCCTTGAGCCTCAGGCTTGCACAGATCTTTTCAAGGGCTTGCCTATGGGCTGAGACCAAGTGTCCCTTTCTCTAAGGTGCCAGAGTCACAGCTCCCTCCTAAGTCCCTGCTGGGGTCCTGGAGGCAGGAAGCCCTGGGCTTCTGCATGAAGCCCCCCCACCAAGTGGCTGAACATGCCATTTCTACACTTTGGGGTTGCTTGGAGTCACACTTGGACTCTTGCCCAGGTGTGCACAAAGTACAGTCAACCTATGAGAAACAGGAAGTACAAACACACTAACAATGCAAACAAGTGACAAATGACAGAGTGGGAACACAGAAAAGCTCTGAAAGCCAAAATATCTGGAGTCACTCAGTGTTGCACTAACAGCCATGTGAACCTCAGATGCTCCTGAGGGCATGGCTGGATTATAGCATTGGACAATGATTGATGTCCAAAATGAGTCATCCAGAAAAGGTCACATTGTACTCACTACACTCTGTTAGAAAAACAGGGATATGGAATGCATTCTAGAAACATTTATAACTCTAAAAAAATCTTTTAAATTTTCTGGAAAAAAAAAATCAATGCATCTCTCAACTGTTGCCAGAAAAATAAAGCATTAACATGAGTGGAGTAACTTTACTGTAAGGCATATATATTTTGCTGAGTTTTTTTTTGCTGTTGTTTTAATACTGATTCATAGGAAGGAGAGGACTGTTTTCATGCCTCTAAAGTTACTATGTGTTTTTTCTGCAGGTCCTACTGCCATTAGACAATCCATATGGCAAAATTACTGGTACAGTCAAGAGGAAGCTGTCTTCAAAGCTGTGACATTGTGACCACCAATAGCAGTCCATTTTAGCTGAGGAATTCCTTAAGTCATTTGTGATAACCAGCAATATGCAAATATGCAAAATTTCAACCCAGCATATTAATTTACAGTATATACTTTCTACTCTATAAAATAATTTATTTCTTTATACCTAACTCAGCAAAAGGCATCATGCAGATTATCTTGTTAGTAATTATAATATGTTTTATGGATCGTTTACTTTAAAAATGCTGAATAATATTAGAACAATCATAAAATGATATTTCTTTTGGATGGTTTTGTTAATTCCTATGTTAGAGGAGATATTTAAACATTTTATTAAAAATGATCATGTATTAATGGAGGTCACATCAATGAATATGAGCACAAGTATAAAAAACCGCTATTGGTTTCATTTTACTGATGCTTCTAGGTAATGCAGAAAATGTAATTAAACTATTCTGAAAATTTCATCATTGTGACTTCAGTTGTTTGAATATTTGAATTTTTAAAAAATTCTGTAGTTATGTGTCATTGGTAGCTCACTTCTAGTATGATACCACTATCATGATTTTATGTATTGATTTTTATGGCTTTACAACACTTAGAGAATATATAATACACATTGGGGTGTTCAGATCAATGTAAATTGTTTTTCTCTTAATACATGCTTTTGGCACAAAGAGCCACATTTCATAAATGTGAAATCAATGTATAGATTATAAATACACCTATAAAAAGAATTATATATGTGAAAATATCAAGTCAATGTACAGAAAGGTGCATATATATTTTATAAGAGAGTATATATATATAAAAATACCAGCAAGGGTGATTTATGGATGATAAACTGTGAGCAATTTTCCACCATATACTTTCAGAGACTTCTAGTATGAATATTTATTGCTTTCATGATCAGAGAAATATTTGCCTTAGCTACTTTCTCATTACTGAGGCAAGGACCTGACACCCACAATTCTAAGGAGTTGTCTCACAGTCTGTAGAGGTTTCAGTCTGTAGTTGACTTTCTCCAAGGTAGAGCAGTACTGTAGAGGGGCATGGCAGAGGAGAAAGTCCATGGCACCGAAGGCCAGAAGTAGAGAAGAAACAAAGGAAGAAGAGGAGGAGTATGGACCCTTGGAGACCATGTCCAGCAGTGACCTGCCTCTTCCTACCAGTTTTCACTTCTCGACATCATACCCAGCTATAAACCCACCAGTGCACTAATCCAATGATGAGTATCACACACCTGTGATCTAGTCACCTCCCAAAAGCTTCACCCATGAGGGGACATTCAATATAAACCATAACACTACTGTATATATTCTGAAAAGCTTCAAAAGTTATAATTTCAACAATCCATGGTTAAAACCTATTTATCGAGCATTCTATATAAATTATCTCTTTTAAAATTTACCTTTAATTAAAAACAAATGAATAACTGCATTACTTTAGAAATACTTATACTTGAGCTCTCAGTGTTGTTCAATAATTTTACTTTATTCATCATTATACTACTCCAACCTAAAGTAGTAGGACTGGATTACTCACATTGACATCAATATGGTGAAATACTATGCCAAATTAACTTAAAAGGGGAAAAAGTTTATTTCAGCTCACGGTTCTAGAAGTTCCTATCCATGTTCAGTTAGTCCCATTGCCTTGGACCTTTTGCAAAGGTGGTACCTTCTAGTGGAAGCAAATGGAGGAGCTGAATCTCTTATATCAGAGCCAGGAATCAAAAAGGACACACCAAATTCCTTCAATTGACCTTTGAGAACATGCCCTGATAACCTAAGCACTTCCTACAAGTCCCTGGGGCTTCCCTCTAACAGCACTCTGGTGACCCAGCATTTAACTTGCGATATTTGGGGACACTTACTTAATTGATAGCAATGGTCTGAACTCAAACTTACTTAAATTCTGGCTCTACCTTTTACTAAACATGTGATAACTTTTCTCTTTTATAAAATGGAAGTGAAAGTAGAAACTACTCTATTGATATTTGCAGATTGAATGGCTTAAAGTTTGTAAGAGTTATGATAGTTTTGGTGCCTGATACATAACTTTTCTAGGCAAATGTTGCTCAGATATAATAAATAGCCTGCCTTCTTTGCATTGGTACCAGTCTATTAGATGACTAGGTGACAAATTCCATCATTGGCTTGTGTGAGTCAAGTGAGAGAGGGAGATCAACCAAATCCACAAGATGCTGGAGGCCATTTGCAAGCTAGTGGTTACTTAGAAAGAACATAGGGTAAGAAGAAGGAAATAATTTGATAAGGAAGGTTTTATGCTACATTGAATCCTCATGCCACAAAATGTGCTTCTACATCATGTAAATTGCAAGGCCAAATGGTTAGTACATTCTGTCAATTCGATAATTCTGTTCCAAGAGGAAAGTCTAACATGAATGCCTAAAAAACCCACAAACAAAAAATGTACATAGGCCTCTTTTACTTGATGTTCTCTTATTTGTGTAAAATTTAGAAACATTGTTTTTGAAGAAAAAGCCTATGTTAGAACACAATCCTTAAATAAAAATTGTGGCCCATTTTATATATGTGCACATTTTGCTTCTCCTGACCTCTTAATATATTCACTGTGATGGGCAGCAAATGAGCTATTGGATGTTATATCCAGATGTACGCTGAGAGAGCTGTAGTCTATCTGATTGTCAAGGAGTAAGTTCCTGTTTGGTGAAGGATGTTTCACCTCCTTCTGTTGGCTCTCGCACAGGAATCCTCTAACAGCATTCTCCCTCTTCTTTCTCCTTGTCCTTCCCCTAACCCAGTGCCGAATAATTTTATGGAAGAGTCAGGCAGGTGATTCCAATGCCCTGAATTGTGTGGAGGTAGTTTATGTAGTGTTCCATGCAAGAGGCTATCATTTGGGACTTGTAGTTTTGTCAACCAAGATTCTGCCTAAGGCTTGTTTCGTATCTTGCAAGTCTCATCATATAACATTTCACAGTGACACATTCAGAAAATATGACCCATTCATTTTCTTTTTAACATTGGATTTAAGTCCATACTATTCTTTATTTTTAGAAATTTCTTTATCTCTCTCTCTTTAAAACATTCACATAAGAGAAAGAAATGTTGTTAAAGTAGCATTTTACTTATTTGTCATTAAAACAGAATTGATATTTTTCAATTCTTGCAGGTTTTAACTGCAGAAAGTTGAGCTTTTTTAAAACCTTCTATGCTTTGTCCAGAAAAAGCATTTCCTTCCTTCAGACTCTGAGCTGTGTTGAGTTTACCCTTATAGTCACCTTTGTAAACTTTGTCTCCATACCTGCAATTAGGAGGAAACCAAAGCTTGTTTCCAAAGACAGGGGCTTCAGGTTGACCAAACACCCCTTCTGCTTCCAGAGGTCTCAAACTCAGTCTGCTTGTAATCACAATATTTATTTTCATGTCTTTTAGAGTCCAGTTACCTCATATTCTCCCATTTGTCTAGACTCCCTCTCACAATTCTTGAAGGTTTTTGGAGCCTACTGAAACATTTTGAGAATATGTTTTTCCCAAAGAATGCTCATTCATGTCTCTACAGGTGCCTCAATCTATACTACAAAACAAAACCCTATCCTTAAGGTATAAATTAGTCTAATATAAATTTACCACATGAGGAATACATTCAGTCTAACACAGAAGATAAGAATATCTTTACATGAGAAAGAGAAATATGTCAGGGATACTGGTTTCTTGGGGCTGCTATAACAAATTATCATAAACAATTTAGAACTACAGAAATTTACCACCTCATAATTAATTGTAGAGGTGAGAAATCCAAAATCAACAGGGCAAGCTCCTTATAAAGGCTCTGGGAGTGATTGTGTTCTTGTTCTTCAGTGGTTATTGCCTCTATGACCACATTTTTTCTTCTCTTCTGTCAGATATTTCCTGTATGATTTTTGTAAAGACATTTGATGTTGGTTGGGAGTTCATCTGAACACACAAAGTAGACTCCTCATTTGAGAGCCTGGTAGCCATCTGGAAGAAGGGCCAACTGAGTTCAGAACTCAGAACAAGTGCTGGCTCCATCTTTGGTCTCAAGCAAAGTTCAAGGATGCCGAAGATCTACCAATTGCTGCAGGATAAACATGTTTGTTTCAAGCCTCATAGCCAAAACATACCTGAACTTTAGGAGAAATAAAGGTGCAAGCTTTCTGGGATTATACACTGCTCTCCCATAAAGCTATTGCTGGCTTGCTGGCATTAATTAACATGACCTAAATCTGGTCTTCCCATGTTGTCTATCAGTGAGCTACACCATGAAGTGAAAATTTTTTCTTTCTTCTCTCTCTCTCTCTCTCTCTCTCTCTCTCTCTCTCTCTCCTTGTTTTTTTGGGGGGAGGGAAGGGTGTTGTAGTCAGGGGTTGTACAGAGAACAATTAGAATCAGGGTCAGACTTTATATTATTATTTTATAATGGTCACCCAGAGTTTAACACAAGAAAGTACAGGAAATCTGTCCATAACACCTAATACATAGAATATTCAGCCAAGGGCCTGGATCCCACAGCAATATCCTGCATGAGTCCAGACGAAAGCCTAGAACCCATGACAATGCCTCCCACAAATCCAGCTGGAGGTCTAGAGCCCACGAGAAGGACTCATGCCAGTCTGTTTTACGGATCTGCACTGGAAAGGCCCAAAGGTCAGTGGTGGAATCTAGAAAGTGTATGCCTGTGGAGTGAAGGAGATGTGTTTGTAGGTTGAGGGATCTACACGGGAGCTGAGGAGTCATGCTCAGAATAAGAACCAGGGCTGTCCTGAAAAGCACCACAGCCACCCTCAGCAACACGGAGGTCCTGAGCTCAGATGATAATAACAGTCAAGTACATGTCAGAAAGCCAGCATGACTAGTTTCTCCTGAGGATTAAGCAGCACACATCTATCCTTCCAGAGCCAGGAAGTGATGCTCCATGTAAGGACCAGAGCTCCCCAAAGTGAACCACAGCCACTCTCACAAACAAGATCCCACGCTGGAGAAGCTAGTCATGACAGACTCCTCCAGGAGAACCATTGGCTCAAACAGCAACACTTAGAGAAACCCACAATGCCTAGCTTCTTCTTCTCTATGTTTCTAATTGTGCTTTCAACTTTCCTCAGGTGGAACATCTATGCCCAGCACCATGCTGATTTAATTCCACTGGCGTTAAGCTGACCACCAGTTTTCAATCCATAACGGGGAGGGTGTGTGTATGTGTGTGTGTGTTTTTCTTCACTGTTTTTATTTTTATGTGAGTGTGAAAATGGTTCTAGTTTTTTTGTGTGTTCTGTTCTTTTGATTTTTTTCTTCTCTCTTTCCCTGTGTCGTGCACCAGTTTCCCAAAGTCTGCCTCTTCCTTTGTCCTCCAGCCTTGCTTCTAATCTTTTCTTCTCCTTCTGTTTCTCTATTTTTCCCCTTTAACCTCTTTAAAAGAGGTTAAAGGGGAAATTTGCCATAGTAAGGGCTAATTTACTGTA